GCAGGCGCAATAGGTCCTCAGAGGAAGCAATAGGCCCTATTGAGTCGTTCCAAGACTTCCTTGTGCATATGGATCAAATACTTCAGTGTAGGCTAACGGCAGTAAAGTGCGATTGAGAATTGGCCGCAGCAGAATGCCGGCGATTCAATTTCGAAGTGCTTCATAGAGTTGATAGCGGGCCTGTGGTGCGCGTTGGCGGAATAACGGAGCAGGTACCGCGGGTCGTTGGAGCAGCCATACTAAATGCGGAAGGATGCCCTGCCATGGCCCGTCAACACCTCTACCATGCGCCTCGTAGTCGCCCACAGTCTCCATTAGCCTATGTTTGCGTTTGAACGTTCACTCGAAGTTCGTTGGACTTTATGCCTTAGATCTGCTGCGAAATAGGTCTACTGCGATGATGCAAGGGCGGCGTAACGTTATCGCCTTCGTAGGCCCAGCAATCTCAGCAAAGGCAGGCCCGGAACTTGAGGCCCGCTCAAAAAACTGGGGAAGAAAGAGATCCGACCTGAAATATCCCCCCTGAATTATCAGGCCTCCAGTACCATGACTGCCTTCTATCATGTTCACGACAGCATGAAAACTTGGAAAGGAAATTACGAAAATCCCATTGTAGCGAATGGAGAAAAGCCGCCATGATATCAACCACATTCTATCGTACACTGCCTCCAGTTCTTTTGACATCCCCACGCCATGCTTGCCTCCTTCAAGTCACAAGTGCTGCCATGACTCAATTCCGTGACGTCACTCGTCTGTAGCCAATCAGACGAGGGCTCTGCCGTGTCGTTGTATTATCTCGAAGTCAGCGTCCCGCCCCGAAAGTCTACGCTTAGGGTCCAAGCGCTGCTTCACAAAGGATACAAGAGACCGAAATGCTCTCCCCAGGCGCGGTCCCGTCCGATCAGAAGCTCACATTGACAGCGGCAGACGGGAGGAACGAGGTCTTCGTCCTGGTCCTCGCGGACACCTACACGGTCTTGTGGGACGGAGAAAGGATCTGCAGGGATGTCATCGATGGAAGCCTCTCCGTCCCCGAAGACTTCGAAGGGAATTGGACGGAGATGACGGGATATGTCTCGTCGACCTTGCCCGGTGTCGATACTGCATTGGGCGGCCACATCTCCTCCGTCAAGAAGTAAATTATACTAATTCAACACATTTTGAACCCTAAATCCGGTTTATTCACGATTTTAACTTCCTGGATCGGGTCTGCGAGCAGTAATACAGTGTGTTCGAAAAGTCACTGTGCAGTGGAATTCACGACATAACGTAGGAGGCCTCACTGTAGCTAGGAATTACAGACAATAATTATGTGAATCGGGGATGGTGAAATCGGGGATATTTGATGAAGTATTGAGTGGAAATTCATGTCTTTGATGATGTGATACGCAGTGCAATACTAACCACATGCAACAAAATAAATGAATTCTACTGCACAGTGACTTTTCGAACATTCTGTAGATAGATGGTTATACTAGTCTAAAAGAGCCCTAATAATTGTTTTTATTTGCACATATCAAAATTATAGAGACACGGCTGTACCAGTCATTCTTATTTCATAAATGCGACACTGGGAAGTAGGAAAAGTAGAAGCGGAATTCAATCGCTTGTCCCAAGGTCATCTCTCGACATCGCGGCGAATGAAATTTCCTGCCCGCCCATTTCGCCAGCATCGACGGGGTCCTGCTGACCAAGGACGAATTGCGAGTGGCCTGGAGGGAGGAGGTCGGCGTCCCGGCTGGGGCGTGGGGAGCGCTCGAGCCCAACGGGGTCAACGGAGGCGTGGAGGCGTGCGTGGAGGCGTGCGTGGAGGCGTGCGTGCTGTTCCTCGGAGGGACGACGCTGGTCGACACGGCTTGCGGGGATTCCGCGCATGCGAGGGGATTCCTCTGCAAGATGGATTCAATCGCTCCAGGTGAGCTTCGGATTTATTATTCGGGATTTGATTCATTAAGATCGCATCAAATCTGAGTGAACGCCTTTTCAGAGCGTGTAGAGTCTAACGAAGCTCAGTCCGAAGATGCACTCAATGGTCAGTAAACTCTTGATTTAAAAAAAAAGGTATGTTCGAATCAATACGACCGCAAGTTTACCTTTTTCTTTCATTCTCATGAACAGGACAACCCTGTGGATGAAATGAATAACATTCTTTGCAAACCTTCGGAGCGAAGGCTTTGAAGGGCTACCCTGCTCAATTTCTTTTGTCGAAGAGCACATACATGCATTCATATACTCCTGCATTCTTCTTTGAAACCCTTTAACGGGAATGTGTCGGATGGTTCCAAATTCATGAAAGCTTTGGGTACTCAACTGGGTAGAACAACTGGATCCGTGTGGCATTCAAAGTGCTTTAAAATGTTTCTCAATTCATTATGTATTTTTAGAACATACTCTTTTTAAAATGAGAACATACATATGTATTGTATCTTTTGACAGACTGTGGTTCACCGCCGGAACACCCAGATGCCACAGTCATTCCGACGGGGGTAGGAGGAGGCGGATACTCCCTGGGAGCTACGGCGACCTATCTCTGTCCCTGTGGCCTCTGGTGGAGCGGGACCGTCTCGAGCGTCCTCGAGTCCGAATGCAAAGGATCCCTGGGCTGGACCCTCCACAAGGACGACCTGCCGAATATGGCCTGCATCCCAGCGCCGACGACATCCCTGTGCCCGAATCCCTTCACTGGCGGTGGAGTGGAGCCGATGGGCGTGGACGCCTCCAACTCCCAATGCGCCTACCCGAGCTCCGTCACTTCTCACACGAGCGCGTATCCCGGGATGGTACTTAGATACCGATGCTCTACTCCTGCGTTTCGGTTTCCCAACGGCGCGACGGAAGTTGAGATCATGTGCAGCAATGGTGTATGGACCCCACAAGTTAGCCTCACTTGTTCCGGTCAGTGTGCCTACATCTTCATGGATCTTCCCTTATTTCAATAAGAGCTGGAGGTTTTTTTAAAAATCAATAATGAAACCATTCTGCAGAGAATTAACCATACGTAAGGCTTATATGACTCATTATACAAGAAGAGGGAGGTGGGCGAAGTTAGACATTTTTCATCTGTTAGGTCTCCACGTATATTATTTACTACTTGAGTTTCCATGTTGTTCGGACTCTTCCATGGGAAAAAGGCCCGCAATCTTCATTATGTCTTAATGAGAGAAAAAAAAGATTTTCTATGCCGCTAAGTCCGAGTAGGCAATATAAAAGCTCTCACTATGAGTGCACAGTGCCAGAAAAGACACGTCCCCGTTTTGCACGAAATGGTGCAATCCACTGGCACGAGGCAAGGGATTCAGTGGAACGAAAGGAGCAGCAGTAACATCGAAAAAAATCGTTGCGAGGGCTACACGAGGAAATAAGTATAGGTTACACGAGGGGGAAGAGTCGGATGGCAGAAACGGGCCTCACAGCGACAGGGAGACGGGCGAATTTCCTTGGGGGACCGAGGCTCGTTTTGGGTTTTCCGCCTTTCCCTCGTGGAATACATTTTTACCTACGGGGTAGACGAAGGGTCGGATAATCGCTGGGTTATCCGACGGCTCGTTCGACATGGCGTCTACGGAGCGCCGTCGGTATAATTCAAAATGGGCCTCACACACTGAACGACTGGGAGGCGAGTCTTTTCGATAGGGAAATGAGGCGAGTCCTCTCTTAGATGTTGAAAAACGAGGCTGCCTGCCTGTCGCTGCTTCAACGAAGCCCGTTTCGGTTATCCCCCTCTTTCACATGTAAGACACGACGGAAGAAAAGTTCATTTCAACATTTGGGGCGGAGGGCGGAAAGGGACGGGGAATGTGGCCTGAGGCTGCGTGAAAACTTGCTCTCGCTCGACCGTGCCAGTCGCCGGGGTCGCCAGGCCTGGATCCTCTGCCCATCCGATCTAGTTGGCTTCTCACGGTCGAAATCTCTATTGGGTGTGTCTGAACCGGTTCTCGTGCGTGAGTTTGAGTGGGCCCACTCTCGAGTTCGAATCCAGTTCATGTTACAAGGTAAAGACTTTGTAAACATTTTCGTTAAAAAAAAAGACTCATATTTGATTTCACAATTCTGTTTCCCTTGCATCCGATTTTGAGATTTTGGAATGTGGGGATATTTTCGTCTCAGTTCTGCAAATCACGAAGCCATAGATTCTCCTGTTAAGCCGTCGGATGATCCCCGGGCACGTCACAGCCTCTCCAACCTTTCGAGGAGAGTGGCCAAGGCTAGATGGAACGTGAGATCCGCGGTCAAATCATGCTGCATATTTGGTTTCTCAGACCCAGTCCCCAATTGCTCTATTGCTGTGTGATTTGAAAGGCGACCGCCAGACTGCGACTCACACGGCAACTGAAGTCGGAAGGGATGTCGGCCCATCAGACCCCGAACGGCCAGAAATGTGGTGTAATCGCAGGGCTTTCCGACGGCTCGTTCAACACGGGGTTTATAGAGCGCCTTCGGTATAATTTTGGCTTTAAGGAAATTTCGATTTCTCATAATCTGGTGATGGGTGCGTAATAATGGCTTCTTCGAAGCTGCTGACGTCGACCTCCGAACTCGGACGCATTTATGCTTTCACACTAAATTAAATGCAAAAGGAAAGTTCCCTGGTGCATGCAGTCCAGCTAATAGGAATTCGATATGACTCTGGGTCGAAGGTAATTGAGTAAGTGGGCTTTTGCTATTAGACCAATTCATATGGCGTAATTAGAATGCCTCAACGTCACCGTGACACTCTAATAAGGGGATCTAGTGAATTATTAGGTAGGCACATGAGGGAGCGTCTATTAATACGTGGAAACCCTGCCTCATCGAGAGCAGAAGTTCGTGATGAACGAAGTTCCATAAAGGGCTGTTGGATATGAACGGGGTCTGGAGTTCCTTATTCGGTTAATTTCATTTCTCCGCCAGGAGATTTCGACGCAGCTAATCCCTTTATATTTACCGAGTACTTCAGGTCCAGCTCCTGGGAATGTTTGGTTATCTCGCGAATATTGGAATGCGATGGGAATCGCGACTCGATTTCCAGGTCCAGCCTTGCACCTGGTGAGGTCAACGGCGAAGGCCCCGCTCTGGGAAGGCGAAAGGATTTGCCAGGAGAACGCGGATGGGAGCCTGGCCGTGCCTTCCTCCAAGGAGGAATTGCTCCGCATTAAGAAATACCTGATGGGGCAAAACCTTGGAGGCCTTTGGGTTGGACTCGGAGGACACATTCCCAATGTGACAGACAGGCGAGTGGTTCTCTTAGTCATTCGCAGCCAGTTTGTATCCGCCACTCCTGTCACTCTTATGGAAACATGTCTGTAAAAAAAAAAAAATAGCAGCACACACACACACGTTTGGAATGATGACACATGATATGCCTGGCTGTAATACAGCCGAAGACCATCTTCAAAACCTTTACTCTCGGTACAAGTATGTATAGTAGTATATAATCTACCTCACACTCCATCAGTATGCAGAGAAGTGACAGTTGAGGCAAGTACTGTGCAAGCAACTTGCAAACTTACCAACCTGTTTTCGTTTTTTGTTCAACGTTTTGGTTAGGAGGTTTTTTCTCCCGAATCGAGGCATTCCGACTTTTCTCAGACGAACTTATATTTTAACACAATGATTGCAGTGGGGGTGTCGTGCTGTCGAAGAGCGTCGCGGTGCAACTGTGGGCAGACGTTGTCGGGGTTCCGGCCGACGGGTGGGATGGAGTCATCGACGTGGTGAAAAACGGCAGCATCAACCAGCACTGCGTCTGCGCCTATGCGATTCCCTTCGGGATCGGGATCAACGACGCGGAATGCGGGCGTCCGCTGAATGCGTTTCTCTGCTACGTGCACGAACCGGTCAGAGGTCGGTACCCGGTCCTCGAGGTAGTTTCTGTACGTATGCAGTACGTAATACATGTGAAGACTTCGACTTTTCCTGGTAAAGTTCCTCCCGGAAAGGATTCTCCGCCTTCACAGACGCAAAAGGGGCCAAGACGGGTGTGATGGGGTAGATGACGAGAATATTTTCAGGAATTCATTTATTAATTATCAAAACAAATTGAACTCTGAACAGTAGCGGTAAATTGTACATGCTGCGATGCAATTGTAATATATTTCTGCGTAGAATATATTCCACTCATCGATACAACCAAGCTTGACAAAACTTCACGAGCAAATTTCATTCCTGCTCGAGTTTTCGTTAGCTCCAACATTTATGGAGTTTCTAGGCGAAACGAACTCCCTGCTCAGTTTTGCTCCCTTTTTGATGGCTTGCCAGAAGTCCCACATCAAGACAGGAAAGAATCAGAGGAAAATGATTTTCCATTGGGTTCGCCGCCGCTCCGCTTTAAAATGGACTCGTTCCCGCCAGTGGAGAAACTCATGTGAACATAAAATCTATAGTGTGTATAGATTTTAAGGACTTTAAGTCGTTTAAAGGACTTTCTTGAATCGGTGTCACTTCACGTTTGCATTCCGTTACGGACAAACCACTCTTGCATGCATATTATGCATGCATATTATGCGTGCATATTATGCGTGCATATTATGCGTGCATATAATGCATGCATATTATGCATGCATATTATGCATGCATATTATGCATGCATATTATGTTTCTCGCTAGGAACGTCCTTTCATTTTAGGATGCAGCGCTTTTGTCCGAGTTTTAATTTCGCTTCATATATTGTCACAATATCACTACAGTATTTGCAAAATATGAAAGTGGGATTTTTGTTTTGTTTTTAGCAATAGGGCGACTGATGGTGTTAAGTGATATTCATACTGATAACGAATAGGTTGTGAAATCTAAAATTCTATTATCTAAAGACAGGCTTCAAGATGAAATTATGCCTCTTTCGAGTATTCCCAGGGATTGGGTAAGATTTTTAAAGCGTTAATTTCATGCCGGCGAAAGATTTGGCAAATCTTGCAACCAAGATCTCCAAGCCTCATTAGACCGTTGGAGTATATTGCAGAAGGTATTACTATTGAAGTTTTAATACTGCCTGCGATTTCAACCACATATTCTCATATTCTTTGGCTCAATACATGGATTATATATTGTTGCAGGAGAGGCCGCGCGCTGGATAAAATTTTCCAGGTGATATAGGTTGAATGGAGACGATGCAACTTGCACTGGTAAGGTGTTTTCACTCGAGTCATTTTTTTCTCTTGACTTCGACACGTAGGCATGAGGAATGTCCAAATGCATGTGTCCGAGTTAAATGAAAAATTTTCTGGCTTAGGAGAAAAACACTGTAGCGTGTGATTAAGGAAAGCCGTTAGAGCTTCTTAGATATCATGAGAGCTTGCAGTCGAACGCTATATTGTTTGTTTGTTTTTGAAATTTCTTCGCAGCCTGCCCACAACCACAGGGACCTCCAGACCAAGATCTGAAGCTGGAGTCCACTGGAGGGACAAATTACACCCTGGGAGACAATGTGACCTATATCTGCCCCTGCTGGAAGGCATGGCATCCTCCCAGCATCCCTGCATCTCCGTTACGAACATCCCAATGCTTTGGATCCCTGGGATGGGAATACAAACTCGAGGGCCTTCGTTCTTGCCTCCGAGGTAGCCGAATGGAATGGATCTGGTTCCTTTTGCGTCGCTTTCGATGGCGAAAGTTCTACCCTAATACACTTTGATGGCACAGCTGACTTCCAAGACTCTTTTCAAATGCGTTTGAACCTTGTTTGAATTTGGTGAAAGGAAAAATTAAATTGAATAATGTCAATAAACGAAAAAAGGCAATATTTATGACGTGAGATTTTAGTATCCCCATTGAAGCCGTTAAGAAAATCTCTGCACGATCCGAAGATATGAGATGCACTTTTCTTGCAGATCCAGGAATATTCTGCTCTCCGATTACTTTGCCCCCTGAGGGTTACCGTGAGATTAAGGCGATCGACGTGTCAAAATGCAGGGATCTCGCGGGTATGTACCCTCCTGGCAGCACTACGACATACGAATGTGGACTGAAGGACTTCGTCTTCTCCTCTGGGGATGCCCGAGTGACATGGACATGTCAGGACGATGGGAAATGGGCACCGACGAATGTGTCCGTGACGTGCCTTCCTCGCCCGAACACAAGTGAGCGTATGTCTAGTGATTACGGCTTGCGTTGTCTGTTGCATGAGTCGTAATCCTTTAGCTATGAATAAAACTGCAGTAACTCGTGGTGCAAAGTGGAGCCTTCAGAGGTTTGAATTGTTTTACATTCGTTTTCCTTGAGAGTCAGGTGTGAGGTAAGAAGACGTTGGATTGTTGCAGTGGTAAAATTGTGATAAAAAAAGGCATGCTTTACAAGTCTCACTCGCCTTCCTTATTTCCGCGAGCAACAAAAACTAGGCCAGATGGAATTGTATGAATATATGGAAAGTAAATCATATTTATGACGAAATTCGGACTTAATTCGGAATTAAAAGACCGAGCGCAAAGCTTGAGTGAGAACGATAATTTTTCCTTTGTATCCATCACGAAAAAATTCTCAAGGCGTGCTATTTTTTTTTATATTTGGACGAAACGAGAGTTCGCATTTTCATGTTAACATGTCCTAGCATGCGAATCGCCGGGTGACGCAGATGCCATTGCCTTTCCCGACTATCATTTCGTGGGAGCCATGGTCTACTGCATCCACAACGACTCCATCCGGCGCCCCATCGCTTGCACCGAAGGTCTCACCTGGTATCCTGCGGGATTCACTCCCTGCGTGGAAGGTTGCAGACTGGATTCGCATCCTCGCAAATGGACGCACATTGCAGCCTCGGCTTCAGCCTCCTTTCTTTTGCAGTGTACCCATACTTCGAAGTCGAGAATGAGGGATTCGTACTTGGAAAGCCGAAAGAGGGATCTCTTGATGGGAACTTCGGAGCTGCAGCCTTCTGTCATCAACGCTTCAATGCAGCAGGGTTGCCGGAATTGAGGAACAGAACCAAAATGGGACATGTGGCCCAAGTCGTCGGGGCATTCGTTGGCGACGGATTCGTTCCTCTCCCGTACAACATTCTGTGAGTTGTGATTGAATTTTGCGGTAAACAACGAGAATATACGGGAGAAAGAAAATTGAGCTCCCAGAGCCCTTTAAAAGGCCTTTATTTAATAATTTTTCTCCATATGAATTAGAATCACTGGCTCAATTCTTCCATTATGCAATATCTACCTAATACCGAATTATTCATGTTACATTTGCGCAAGAAACGTCTCATCCCCTGTTAAATCACGCTTGATCACGCCGAGTATGCTGTACTAGGAAAGGAGATTCGAAATCTGTAGAGGGTCGAATCGCAAGGTTGAATGAGACAGGGGAAGAGCGAGAAGACGAGTAAGAAGTCGCAATGGCGACTGCAATCCCGATTCCAAGAAAGGGGGAATATCGAAGGAAATTTTTTTTCACCTTTCTTGGGGCAAGGCGAAATGGACACGAGTCTGGAAACCGTTTCTTTCTGACACCGAGAACGGGCATTGTTCCGCTCTGGACCTCGACAATGGGGGAATCCTGGACGCGAATTGCTCTCAGCCGCTCTACTGGGCACTCTGTCAACTCGACATCGGCGACAGTTCGTTTTCTGTATTTTTCCCGATAGCCCTGATGCTTTCAGGGTACTCGTACGTAAGTACTAGTAAAAGTTACAGGTGACTTCAAACGGTAGATTTTTGGTTTTGCTAGATATTAAATGTCTTGAATACGAAGACGACGGTTACAATCTGCATGGCGGTATACCATCATACAATTTTAAGATACTAGATCTTTATCTCACTCGAAGAAAATTTCGCAAGCAAGGAAGCATCCAGGAACAGCACAATGGATAGTGACCTGGACCCTAATTAATTAATGTAAAAAGAACGGCTTGAAACGTAACGGCCGTATATTCGAAATCTTACTTTGATGACTTCCTTTAATATGTATTTATTTTCCCTGAAATGGAACAAACAGAAGGATCTGTCCCATTCGGGGATAATTAATACCTCAGGTATTCCCTCTTCCGTTTCCATATGTACGAACACACATAAAAGAGTTCCACATGGTCAATCTGTAGAGAAATTTAGCCCGGGAGCTTCAATTCAGCGCAAGCACTAAGTGGCGGCTGCACGATCCATTTACAGGTTGCGGGGAATTTCCTCCCATGGCTACGTATTTTTCCTCATCGTCCGCTCTCATCGCAGCAAATGGACAAGGGGTACAAGTCCACTGCAGCTGCGGTCAGGTGTGGCAAGGGTCCGAACCGAGGACGAAGAGGCAAGACTTCATTTGCTATGGCAATATTGGATACGACATTCGTTCAATGACCAAGTGCATCGAAGGTGAGTTATAGATGCATCGACCCGAAGAATGAATCTCTTGACAGAATTATTGTGAAGATCACCTCATAAACAGGGTTTAGCCCAGTGGCGTAGCGAGGGGGGGCTGGGAGGGGCTTCAGCCCCCCGACGAGGAGAAGTTAGCCCCTCCAACGTTCCACCTAGCCCCCCCCCCATTAGCCCCCCAACGTTCCGCTTAGCCCCCCCATTGACGAAAACCTGGCTACGCCACTGGTTTAGCCATAACGAAATTTTCAGGCAGTTGGTCTACCATCGAATGAGAACATAGGAAAATCAGTTTCTCCTTTTCTGAATACGCATCTTAACCGCTTCCTGACCAACCTATTCTATGACAAGTCTCCAAAAGCAGCGCACGGACACGGATATTGAAAAAGGGCGTATGGGCACCTACGACCTTTTTCTAGGGCAGTTCCAGAGTAATTGGGACAAAAGTGACATAAAAATGTTTTCCGAGTTCTCCTGACTTGTCTGCGTTGTTTGGATGCTAAAACTACACTAAATAAGGGATACAACAAGCATGTATCACTTGACATGAGATGGTTTTTCGTTTCTCCATTTCGATATATTAACACTTGCTTCGTGAACTTTGTTTTGGACGATTTTGTTGCTTCTGTAACACTGGAAAACCTCCTCCTGGTCACTTCATATCTGATGATAACAGTACTTTGGCACAGAGAAAGATGACGGTCTATGCCTACTTTCTTGATAATATGAAGTTCCAGGTTAAGCCAAATCAAACAGAATTAGAAGAGAGATAGGAGAATAAATACTGCTGTCTAAACTGTGTTACCTGTACGTTACTAACACCAAATTAATTGGCCTTACTTTTCTTCATATATGGGAGAAATGAGAAAATTTTGACTGAAATACGTTTAGGTATCTATGTTCTATAAGGTGCTGTTGAAGCAGAATTTCTGGACCAAATAATACGCGCGGTATATCATTATACTTGTTTTCATTTTTAGTCTGGTGTAACGTCAGTAACATTGGAATTGCCCTCCAGAGAATGCCTCATTTAACACAATACTAGATGCCGATGCATAGAATATGGAAAAATCTTATGGATTTGCTTTTTTTTCCATACCTAAGCTCATAAAAAGCTCCCCTGAAGCCTCTGAGTTCTCAACTAAGTCAAGTATCTTAACACGAAAAAATAGTATCTCCATATTTTATTGGATTTGAAGGAAACGTCAGATTCAGATTCGTCCTTGTCCTTACTCGAATGTCCCTTCATGAGTTGAGATAATGGGAACGTGTTGGATGAACATTCCAGCTTGTGGGACGGAATTGTCTCAACCTTCGTTGGCAAACGCAGCCTGCTCGGACGTTATGCACGGAGACAACCTCACATTCATCTGCAACGAAAATTACACCAACAGTGTCGATGGGGTATCGATGAATTGGCTTGAAAACCCGGAGTTCCAGTGCATCGACAATCAGTGGCAACATAACAATGTCACGTGCATACTCGAAGAATGCCGCGATGAACCGACATGGTCCATGAATCATGCTGTCCTTTTTTCTTGGGAGTCGAAGTCCAAGCGAGTCGATGCCACGGCCTTCTACAAGTGCGAACTTGGTTATATCTATCCGTCCGTTCAAGACCCAAATGCCACGATTGCGTCCATCTGTGAAACCACAGGATACTGGTCCGAGGTGGAAGCCTGCGCTCCTTCCTATTGTCCTTCAGACCCTCGGTCTCCTGCCGAAAACATGAGCATTATATGGGACGAAAACGACAGGTTCATCGGGAGTAGTAGCACCTACGCATGCCTCACAGGATACCGATTCTCGATCGATGAATCTCAACTGCAGGAGCGAATATACACGAGGAGCGAAGATGGATTAGACGTCGTGAAAATCCAAAGCCTATGTCAGTCCAACATGACATGGGAACCCATACCTTGGAAATGCGTGCCTTCACATTGCTTACAAAATCCTCCTACTTTACAAGGAACCCTCCCTTTGGATTCAAATGGCCAATCTCACAGAATTGGGGATACCGTTACATATAAATGCGACGCATACAAGAGCTTTCCTGATGCCTCCACTGAGAAGAACAGTACTTGCTTGCCAACCGGAATTTGGGAAAATATTACGGACCACTGTAATTGGGCCTATTGTCCGCAGAATCCCCCAAATGCACCAAACTCGTCCGAATGGGACTGGAATGGGAAGGACAAAGTGGTTGGCACGATGGTAAGATATACATGTCTGGAAAACAACATCTTCTACATTTCCAACACCTCTTCGGTACAGACGATGTGCATCGCAGAATCTGGTACATGGCTCCCTGTAGAAGACTACTGTCACCGTCCAGAGTGTAAGCAGGAACCAGAGGCGGCCCCTCTCGGTGGATTCAGGGCATGGGAAATATCGTCCTTAGCAGGGATGAATGTCACCTTCTACTGTCCTGAGGGCCAGGCTTTCAGCGATGGAAGGAATTCGACGAATAGGTCATGCCTAGTGACGGGGGATATCTTTGGAAGTTGGAACTAACGTGACTTACTCCTGCCCCGACCACATGACCTTCCAGGAAGGTCTCAGTATAACGAAATCTTGCATCCTTTCTGGACATTGGGAGCCGTTCAATGAAAGTTGTCATTGGTTTGAATGCCCCGAAGATCCGCCATCAGCTCCTGTAGGTGGAAGTATGGTTTGGAATGGCAGTAAGGAGATAAATACCATTGTTACTTATTCATGTGGTCCCAATAGACGCTTCAAGGGTCTGCTGGATACAATAGAGAAGACTTGTCAACCTACAGGGAAATGGGAGGATTTGAATGAGACATGTATGGCCATCTGTGAGGGAGAACCACCAAATGCAATGGAAAATGGCCAGAGAATCTGGGAATCTGGGAACATTACAGTTGAAGGTTCAACTGTCGGTTACAGATGCAACGAAAATTTTCAATTCTCCCCTCCTGATGTTAATGAAAATCTACTGATCCTGAAATGCCTGGATAGCGGTTATTGGGAACCATTGAAGCACCAATGCAGTCCGCCTTCTTGTGGAAATAACCCCCCTGAACCGTCAGAAGGTATTACACTGCATTGGAATGGATTCTTTGAAGTTGGGACAAATGTAACCTACTCCTGCCCAGACCACATGACGTTCCCGAATGGTCCTAATGAAACAAGATCCTGCATTCTTCCTGGACTTTGGGAGACATTCAATGAAACTTGCAATTGGCTGGAGTGCCCCGAACAACCTCCTCTACCACCAGAAGGAGGGTCATTTAGTTGGAATGGTGTTGTCAGCTTTGTTGGTCACAGAGTCACCTATCACTGTCCTGAATTCCACTTGTTCAATGGAATCGCCCCCGAGGTCACGAAGGAATGCCTCCCAAATGGACGTTGGCAGCTTCTGGAGGAAATCTGCATAGCGAACGAGTGTCATTCTGATCCACCTAACGAGCCTGAGGGAGGCATTAGAATCTGGGATGGATCCATGGTTGTAGGAACCAACGTTAGCTATTCATGCCCTTATGGAATGGAATTTGAGAAATCTGGCAAGAGCCTCACTGCATCCTGCCTCCAAACCGGAAAATGGGAACCTGTTGAGGAGAAGTGTATTTGGGTGGAGTGCCTCGAGAACCCAAATCTTCCTTTGATGAGTGTCAGCTCGGACCCAGGTGTAAAACCATGGAAGGTAGGGACAACCATCTGGTACTTTTGTCTTGTGAATCTCG